CATAATTATGGAGTGTGATTTATTTTCAACTCAAAATATCTTCAAACTAACGAAATATAAAGTTAGCTATTAGCTATAAAGCTATTTTTTCAGTTAGCTGATTGTGGGTTAAAGCTAAGTGTTTGGTTAGCTGTGCCCACCACTCATTAGTGCTCAGATCAGAGCAGAAAMACTCGTGTTCATCAAACACTGAGCTACCTGAGTTCATCCAGCAGATGAGCTACTTTAGTTTCATAGAAGTCGATGACGTCCAGCACCCTGCAGACGACAGCAGGACACACTCAGATCATCAGAACCTGACTGTTTCAGYGAGAGCCTCAAACCTCTGCTAACAYGTCTGCAAAGGTTAAACCTACTGTCGGTCGGCTGCAGAGTCCTGCTCGTACGTTTTCCCACAGATCCTCTGAAAGGTCTGACTGTGTCGAGCCAACCGCTGCTCTTCTTCTTTGGTGGTGAAATAAAGTTTCCTCTGGAGCTCGGCCAAGTCCTCCTTCTGCTTCAACAGCTTCTGCTCCAGCAGCTGACAGCGTTTCTGAGTGAGTCAGGATGAGTTTYCTTAAACATCGCTGGATTTCTGCTCCACAGTCTGAGTTTATCTTTCAGTGTGAACAGTTTCAAAAACAAGCCTGAACGCTAAAGGCTAAATGACGGCTGATATGTGCTGAAGGGGCGGAAACTGACTTGCTAATGCTAAAGGATGGCTAAAAGCGAGAAGACAAAAGCAGCTKGTTGCTAGATGAATGCTAAAAGAGGAGAGATGATAGCAAGAAGTCAGAAGTAGGAAAAGGCTGGCTGAAARCTAAAAGYAGCAATTGGATGGCTATAAGCCAAAATCTGCAAAAACAAATGGCTAGCTAACTAAAAATCAAAACTGCCAAAAGCTAAAGAAAAAAAAGCTGCAACAAGCTAACTGAAAGTATAAAAAGACTAGCTAAACATCACAGTCAGCAAAAACTAGACAAACACTAAAAGCAGCAAAAAGGCTAACTAAATGTAGCGAATGTCAAGCTAAACAGTAGCTAAATGTAGCTAAAATCAGATTTTAAAAAGTTAAGAATAACTTAAGGCTGGCTTGAAGCTAAAAGTAGCTAAATGTTAGCTAAACGGTGAAAGTAGCAGAACAGCAGGCAGCTAAACCCAAAGAAGCAAAAGGATTATTGAAATAACTCTAGATGAAGAACCTGTGTGTGTTCGTGCTGCAGCTGCTGCTGGCTCAGGCTGTGCTGCTGGACAGCCCTGCCCAGGTGGTGGTCCTCCAGGTCCTGGATCCTGGTCTTCACCTGGTCCAGGAGCCCCTCCAGCTCAGAGACTCTCTGAGACTGCTGAGCTGCTCGGCTCACGTGCTTCTGGTCCTCCTCCCTGACACAAACACAAACACCATCAGAAAGCTTCACATCGAACAAACCCTGTTTCTGTATTTTAATCAAATGAATGTGATTTCTTTAATAAACTGATAATAAATGTGTTTGTTTAACCCTCCTGTTGTTCTTTTCTCTACAGAACCCAGCGGTTCTTAACCTTTTTGACCTCAGGGCCCAGTTACTTCAACAAAGTGACACGAGGCCCAGTCACACATTACCATACGGATCAAAATGATAATTATTCTAAATCTTGGTTTAATGTGTATTCTATTTGCATTATAACTCAATTAAAAACACTTACAGCATAAAAGTAAAACTCCTGTCAAATAATCCACAAGACATGATTATGACAAACATTTTATATTGTAACCTGCCCAGAACAATTATTTGAACAAATACAAAGGTCAGTCAACAGACCACTCAGGCCTATCAACACAAAAATAACATTTTTAACATAAAAAACAACAAAAATAGACAATTCAATAAATAAAATTGTGGGCATAAAATAAATAAATTCAAAATGTTTAATGTAAATGTTTCAAATAAAAAAAAACTGTAAAAATATATTTGATAAAGTACAAATGAAAATATAGCCTTTTTAAACATTTGCAACCAGAAGCTGCTCTTCAAAAACAATAACAGTAACAACAGCTTTGTGACAAAATGTTTTAAAATAAATTACAAAAATTAATTTAAAGTGCAAATTAAAATATAAAACATCTGCAACTGTATTTGATAATGTTTTGAACTTTTAAAATATTGCATGGTAAAAACAGAGGCTGCTCTTCATATTAGTGAAAAACTTTGGTGGTTTTTGATGGGTTACCTTCATTTTTGCTTCTACTTTTAATTTAAAATAAGTTTCCATTCTTGGCAGGTATCTAAGGTTCTTCTTCTACGTATTAAAAAAAGGTTGTTAAACATCTGAGTGGCGCACTACTGCTACTAGTGGTGAGAAAGTGTATTGCATCTTATTCAAAATCAATGTGGCCCTCTGCGGCCCTCTGTGGCCCAAAATTAAAAACTGTTGTTCTTTTGAGGCCCTAAAGGTGGCGCTCGCGGCCCAGAATCTCTGTTTTAAACTATTGGGATGTATTTAGTCGTCCAAAAATGTGATATTTTTGAAAAACTTCTAAATAAACATTACTTACATGAAACCCGTCACATCAAACCAAGGCTGTMGTGGATTGGTTAAAAATCTGGGATAACTGGATGAGGAATAAATAACTCAGATCCCTTGAAGGAAATGTCCAAAATAAAATCCTAATAAATGTTTCAAAGCTCTTTTCTGAGCCGTAAACAGTCAACAGCATAAACAGTATTTTGTTTAACARATTAGTTTTTCATTTTCTTTGAAAACACTTAGCTCCTGCCAAATTAGGTTTTTCCAACTTTAAGTCTGCTAAACCGCTAACTAACAAGCTAACATCAACAGATTTGTGTCAGTCCCACCAGTCCTCAACTGGAAGGAGATGAAAACATTAGCGGTTAGCGTTAGCAAACAATATCTTTATATTAGCAGATTATACATTAGCTAAGCTAACTTTAGCTGTGCCTACCACTGCCTAAAACTATGATTTTAAGCAGAAAAGCTCTGAATTTTTGCTATTCTCTCTGTGCGCTAGTGAARCTATTTTCAATAGCAGCTGAGAAATCTGGATTTCCAAATATGGTTAAAAGTTTCTGCTTTCAAATGACGTTAAGAAATCCTTWTTAGGAAGTGATAAAAACAGGATTCAGACTGGTAAATGCTCTTGATATCAGGATGATTTAAGGATCAAAATGTAGTTAAAATCAAAAGCTTCAGTTCAGTTGAACCAAACACATCAGGTCATGATTTCATGATAAACTCCACCAACACTTGTCACAGATCACATCTCTGAACTGGAAACCTGCGACCATCTGACACGATGGAGTTGGGTGTCAGGAGGACAGGTGGTCCTCACAGAACCACAGCGTGCATTATTAAACACCTGCAGCAGTTTAAAATGGTTTCAAATGTCCGCTACTTTACTTCAAACTGGTTTTAAATAAACGTAACGTGACAGAGTTATTGAAAACAACACCAGCAGCGTTGCTTTTTTAATAAAGGCTCACAGGAAGTCAGTGTTCCTGAAACGTGTCATGAACGGACATACTTCAGCTGGTTGTTGGAGATGACCAGCTCCTGGATCAGAGCCTGTCTCCTCTCAGAGTCCGTCAGCATCGTCCTCAGAGTTGTCCTCAACTCAGCCGCCGACCTCTTGTCCAGGAGGACCAGATCTAACAACAACAGATCCTCTCTTTAGAAATACGTCACATATTTCAATCCTGACKGGTCAAATGTAACTGCAGCATCAGCTCTCAGCGTTACTGTCAGTTATATTTACAGTTCATTAGAAAACACAGGGTTAGTACAGATTAGTTTATCTTTTAGCTCTGAAAACCACAAGTGCCAATGATGATATAAAGTGCTAAAGGGCTAATGATAGCAACACAGTAGCTGAAACCTTAATAAAAGATAAAAGAGATAAAGGCTAGCTTAAAGCTAAAATCAGCAAAATGCTAACTAAAACCAAAAGTCCAAAGACTAAATAGAAGCTAAAAGTAGCAAAAACCTGATTAAAAGGGGAAAAAAACTAAAATTTGAATAAATTTAAAGGACAGATGTACTTCAGTCCAAGGAATATGATTAAGGAAGACTCAGTGATTGTAAAAATACTGGCTCAATTAGTATGATAAAAAA